ATACCTTATTTAGATAGCTAAAGTCAGCCTGAAACAGATACAAAGCTGTGCAGAACTTTTTCAATTGATATATGCATATGTCACCATGCTCTTCTTTTGCAAAGCCTAGTGCAGCAGTGTGTTTGTGTCTGGATCTGTGCAGCTGACCGGTTGGGGGTGGGTGGAGGGGAATGAAGGTACTTGGTTGTATCCACCATGTAATGTTCATTTATCTGCTCCCACATTTGTGGCTGCTCTCCCAGTGGTCCTAATGCCTACACTGGCGCATTGGGAGGTTAACATTCAATGCCGTCCTTTGTTGAATTGCCCCACCAGTGTTGCCTCTGTATACATTTGTCACACATTTCAACAGCAAAAACTGAAGTGATGTGGACTTTGAAGGAAGGGGAGAACCGATTTAGAATAGGACAGTGCATTTGTGTGAAATTCTGTAAATGAGAGAACAGAGCTTTGACCTCAGAGCACCTTTTTTGCTGAAGGGGAAATAGTTTTGTGGTACTTATTTTTTTTATGCATTATATGTCTAGATTTGCCAGAGCATGTGTTTTTTTTTATTTATTTAGTTCATCTCTAATTGTGCTTTATTTTAGAAGTTTGTGACAGAAAGGCATCCTATTTCCAATGCAAGTCCCACTGATTTGATCCTTTTACAGAAAACCGAATTGATTGCCACACATACTGCGCAGTAATTCCATGGCGGATTACATTTGAGTTAAGCAGTGCTGGTTTGTGATCGCAGCGATGATGTCTGTGCGTGCATGCGTGCGCACAACAGAAACACATGTCAGCTATGTGTGTACAAGCACACCGCCGTTTGTAAGCATCGAGAGCTGGTAGTGTTGTGACGCGCTGGCCCCCACCCACGGCGTGTTCAAATAGGATTACCAATCACTTAGCTCCAATATTTGCATCCTTTAGTCCTATTCAGGTTCACTGGCCTCTTCCGCTCTCCTTTGATCAATGATGCACGTTCGCCTCTGGTCAACGAGGGCACAAACCGAGACAACCAAGCGAGGCTGTGAAATTTGTGCCGGCGATGCAGCAAGCTTTTCCTGTCCTCAACCCCAGCGCCATGGCCTTCGCCTTTTCTCTTGCTTTCTCTTGCCATTTCGCAGCACATCCTCTCCCTCTTCAATTTTCATTGGAAATTGGCTGACTCTGACGTTCTCTTATCTTTATCTAAAGTTCTAAGTTATAGTGTTGCAGCTACCCTGCTAAATAATCTCCACAGTTTCGTCTTTTATCGCTTTCATTTGCATATATATTAAATACATGTTGTATGGTAGCTGTAGGGCACAGTGTACTGAGCACGCACCGATCTCAGCTGCCTTTTGTTTTAGCAAAGCACCTGCTGAACGAAGCAAGGCGGTTTTGAGCCGTATTTGAATGCGTGCTATATATTTTCACAAGGTAATGTCAATGTAATTATGGTCCTCACAGTAGATTCGTTATATAGTGTGGATTGAACATTTTTATTTGGTCCACATCAGCATACGGATAGTAGCCTAGATAAAAAATAAAAACGAACAAGAAAAAAATAGCATTTTGAAAAATATAAACACTAGAACTTGAAAATCCCTAGACGTTAGTAAACGACCAGTAAAATCAACCTGACAACAATGAAAAATAGCTTCGTTTTGAACACCCTTTCAGTCATAGTCTACAGGCTATAGAATAGCCCTTGAAATTATGTTTAATGCTGATATGATCAAGCACTTTACTGTTTCATTTTGAGCCAAAAAATTTGACACACAAAACAAAATCATATTTTGTTATTTGAATGATGCGTAAACAACTAGCTTGCTCCGCATTATGATATACAAGCTTTTCGCAAACGATTGTGTATAAAATAAGATTTGTTAAAAACACCAGATTGTAAGGACAATACATAAAAAAAGCTTACATACGTAGAAATGGGAGAATTTATATTGTAGGCTTACATGTCTTATTACTTGTCAGTAGCCGGGCCTTGCAAGGTTTTATATTCTTTTTTTTTTTATTTGGATGGTCCGTGAATAATTTCTAAGATTCACATTGAATATCTCGCTGTTATCATGTGATTTGCAATGGCACTGCAAGTTGAAAGACATGGGCTTTATTTTCTATTTTTGTACAATTTAACATTAATAATAATATAAGCCCCATTCACATAACATTTTATTAAATGTACAGAAAAGCACGAGGGATTGGCTTGTGCTAAAGTAAATTAATTTCAAGTGGGCCAATGAATGCTGCAATAATTGTAATGAAATAACCCCATCGTTCTAACCTGTTTAAATAAGTAATGTCAATTGGTTTATGGCATTTACTATTTAATGTACAGGTGTTTTAGAAATGGCGTGCTATATGTGAGTGTGTTAATTAAATCCACTCAATATAATGCGCAGCAGTTCTATTAGCAGCATAATAATTAAAAATAAAAGCCGCCTACGGGCTCCTGTGGTGGAAAAACCCTCGTATTCCACGGGGAATGGCAAAATATTAATTCAACGAATTCTTTACTTTAAAGAATTACAAGAATTATTCTATAGTATATTCTTATTATAAGAGTGAAAGAAGGCAGATTTAAATCAGTCATTGTATTCCCTGCTTAGATTGTATCATTTGTAACAAATTTGGAGAACTCCAAAACATAAAAAAGTGAAATGCTGTATCAATAGGCTTAAAAGCTGTCTGACCAATTTTGCAATATAGCTTAATTCATAGTGAAAAGTATTTGTGATCCAAAAAAAAAAAAAAAAAGCCTGTTGCCATATTAACATATTTATGACATATTTATGACAACCAAGCAAGCATTCCTAAATCTCAGATCACGACCTACATGATCTCGGCTTCATATTTAAGAAATAGGGTAACTGATGTAAAGCACATAGTTGTGCAATAACAAGTGTCGAGCAATTGTATGCAGAAAATCGGCAATACAAAGGGAAAAGATTTGTGGCAGTACTTCTGCAACATATTCTGATGACTACTCGTCCAAATATTCAAGCAGCACAATATAACAAAATTAAACGAGCCTATTGCTGAAGTCTCGTCCCAAAAATACCTGCACACCGCGGTGTTTAACAGCGCATTTTACATTTGTAATCATTGCATTATACTTTAAGACTGATTTTCTCGAAAATCGTCCCGTCTTGTAGTTTTAGTCATGACTGACTTGTCAAAATGCTGTGCAAAAATGTGCAGGTGCATTGAACGCAATGCATTAGCTATATCTACAAAAATAAGAGTATTTTTGTTATTTGCACTGTTAAACCCCTCGGTTAAAATGATTGTATAAAGTTATAAACACATTGCTCCATGGTCTGCGCGTTTGATGATCATTACGTTTAATGTAAAAATAAACACATGGTTATTATTCACCCAAATAATTTTGTAATAATGTTCACAGCTCACAGGCCGGCAACATTTGTTAAGCTAAAATTTCGTAAAATATTCTTTATTGCCCACAAAACGTTTAATAGTCTACTTTAAAATAATACGTAAACTGTTCAGAGAGAATGTCGTGTTTTGAAACGATTTCACGATTTTGTCTTGACTGCTTAACTTGACCTTTTAACCTCGATGGGAGAGTTTCTTGAATCTGTTCTTTGATCCCTAGACAGACTCCTGCACACTGCCTCGCCAAGACAACCGAAAGCCGAGCGCTTTTCTGCACTGCTGTTGTCATCGCACGAAGTCAGACGTGTGACGGCAACATGAGAAAATGATTTTTATGGTTGGTAAACGACATTCAAACAGTTCATTGAAATAACCTGTGGTCAAACACATGAGATACATTTGTGCTAGTTCTGATAGCCTACTATAAACAAATCCTGCAAATACCGAAATTAACACGTGGAATCATGAACCTTTACATGGTAAAATATACATCTGAATGTGTCTACAACTGCCGTTCTTTAGGGTGGAAGATTAATCAGATATTGCCTCGTCCTACATTTAATAAAGTCTGGCAGATTCGCAGAGCACAATTACTTTCATGTACAATAGTCTATTATTATTATTATTATTGTCATGCGCAGAATTTTGCTTTAAGTCAATATCTGGCATCAGAATGAATACTGTCCAATCATAAAATTAGAAAAGCAAGAAAAAAAAGTTCCATGATATATTTTCATTTGGAATAATAACGTTTTTGTACTACACTGCGAGCCAGGCTTAAATGTATCGCATATATAGGCTATTAGCTACATTTAAAATGCCCTTATAAGATCAATTAAACTTTTGTTTTCTATGTCTTACAGCTACTCCACTGTGTATTAAAATGACAAACAACTTAGGCCTAAATCTTAAAACAAGCTGACCTCTAAAGGATTCTCTCAATATTATAATATCTTCCATCAAAACAATTGCAATGCGTTATATATACACGTATAACATCTTATTATAACAGTGTAACCACAACCCACTGCCTCGGATAGAAAATTAGAGTAGTGTAGAAAAGCATCGTTTTGTGATATATTTATTTTAAAAAAATCTCTCAGGGGTTTGGGAGAACGACAAGTCATCGTAGCGTTTAAATAGCTACAGATCGTGTAATTGAGATTTTGTAGACTAGAAAAAAAAAAGTAAAGAAAATAAAAAACAATGGCACATTCTACCTTTTTTTTATTTCAGACAACATAATCTGAACATATTGAAATCTTTGGCTTGAAGCGTTGGTTCAGTCACGCATTTGAAGAACTTGTGAGATAAGGGATTTAAGAGACAGGGCTATCACAAAAACTCTAACAAGCCTGACACTTAGGCCTACTGGAACGGTGAGCAACCACATTGGGAAAGGAGAAGAAACGTTAGAAATATTCAGCAAGTAAGGAGCAATATAGACATCCGCTTACCTGGAATTAAATATACACATCTTACAGTTTTGGCTATATATAAATTTTCATAGTGTTCGTATTTAGATGCATGTCCATATACTGTATGATAAACAGAAATTTGACAAACAGACATTTCCTTTTCATTTGAGTCATAAAAAATATGAAAAATCACTTTTTTTTTCAGCGTCAGCGTCCATGGCATTTTTAGGAGAGAAGCCGGGCCATTTTTATTCGCTATCGTCTTTATCTTCTTGAACTGTTGTTGTGGAATGGTTGTAGAGTCCTTGAGCCATGAGCTGAAGAGCGAGGCCGTTCTTATAGCCAGTGGACTTTTTGATTTTGGCCCTCTTATTCTGGAACCAGATTTTTATTTGCGACTCGTTGAGGTTGAGTTCCTGGGCCAGCGACTGTCTCCGCTGCTCCGTAATGTACCGATTCGCCTGAAACTCGGCTTTAAGTCTCTGCAGCTGTTCAGCCGTGAAAGCGGTTCTCGGTCGCTTGTCTTCCTTCTCGCTTTTCTTCTTTTTCAGTTTTCGTGTCCTTGGGCCTAGTGTAGAAACAACAATAAAACGAAGACATAAATATCATAAAGCAGCATGAACACTACATACCCACACCTGACGAAGAATGCCTTGGCAGGTGAGTGAAACGATTAATGCGGTGTTAACATTTGGGCCTACCTGACACTGTCGTATTGGAAAAGCTACTTTAGCTGCACTCTCTTCAGAAACGTCGATAACGAATTCATACTGCAGTTCATTATCCGACAGCGCGGTCTCTTTCATATTGCATTAAACAATAGGTGTTTGCAATGAAACATCACAATGAGTGTTTGTAATCTATGTAAAACGAATGACCTTAGCTGACATGTGCATGTGTAGGCTAACTGCCAAGAAGGCCAGGAAACAAAATGCTGCTAAAATAATAATTCTAAACCGCAAATAGCAATTCATATGTAGACCTGTAAAGTAAGCTTGAAAGTAGGCCTCAGTCCTCGATTGTCACTACAGCGCTTACACCCAGCGAAAATAGCGTGAAAGCCGAACGAGGCTTTGTGTGAGTCTGCTTCTTCTTACTAAATCTATTAATCATTTTCTGAAATGTTAGTTTGCATTGAATTCACAGAGTGAAAAATGAACCATGTAAACCAACATTATCTCCAATAATGGCTTCTGTACATTATATTTTATGTATATAGCTATTATTGCAAGCATCATAGACAAAATGACAACTTGTCGACATATCAGTAGTAGGCCTATATTTCGCCCTGTTTTCCACAACTGGCATATCGAGTTATTAAGTTCGAAATCACCATGTTATTGTCAGTCACGCAGAAAAAGAAAATCGACAGGTTAATCGGTTTTTGTTGTTCTGTGGCCTCGCTCTTTATAAAACAATAAACTGTGTTATTTTGATATGAATTTCAAATTAATAAAACGTTTTAAAATGCAAATCAGTGTGTCAAATATAATTGAAAGACAGGGAACGTAGGCTACCTTTAAAAAAAATCCATAACTTATTTACCTCTGCACATGAGCAGTTAATTGCAAAAGTGTTAACAGAAAATGAGCCAACATTATATTTTTACGTATCGACATTAATATTCGGCCTACATGTGTAGTCCTTCGTTTTGCTCAGTTGCAACAACTGTTCTGTTATTGTTCTGCAAATAGTTTTATTTTTATTTATTTACCTTTAATATATCCATGAATAATGCAGATCCTATATGCAAACCCATTCATGCAAAGTAGGTGCAATAAAAAAAAGCAATAGCTAAAGACCTGTTAACAGCATATTATGCAAAGCAAACCTATCACCACGCATGTAGTAGTATTACACGCACGTCAAGAAAACTATTTTCTGCATTACCAATCAACAACTGAACAGAACCCCAAGTCTTTCCTTCAGGAAACTCGATCGAAATTCTGCTTGCCGTCTGTGAAAGTCCGGTGTCTGATAGCTCAATCAGTAAGTAGATCAGTGAAGTCAATCAAAGCATCTTTTCTAACAGCCGACTTTGTCAGGTATGCACTGTAAAATGTTTTGTCAGAAAATTTACTTCATGTGATAACCGCCAAATGAACTGTCTTTATTCAAGTCAAGCAGATTATTTAAAATCATTGAAATCTAAATGATTACATTGGGTTTACGGGTCTGAGCAGGTAGAAATAGCACCTGAAGGTAGGAACTGCACACAATTTAACGTAAGGAGATTCATAACATTCAACAAAATCTACCCTTTCGGCTGACCCTTAACTGGTTTGTCACAAAAAAAAACAAAAAAAAAACAAATAGCCTCTCCGTTAATTATCTATCGAATATCCTAAAATCACTTCACAACAAATAGCCTAAAGCTAGCAGCATTAGGTCATCGTAAATTTAAAGAAGAACGCCACATATCACGGCACTTCTTCTTTTCTTTCCTTCATTAAGATTAAGCTATTTGTATTGACATTAGGAACACAAATACTTGTATATTTAAAACATTTAACCCATGGTCATAGACAAATGAAATGCTGCAGTAAAAAGATTCATAACACCAATAACAATACGCTGAGAAACTGTGGATAGCAAAATCTTTTAAACAAATTACTATTATCTAAATATTAATCTATAAATATTATCTATATTTTTCACATTAGCACAGTTACGTAGCCTAGTATTCCTCTTTTCTATTGATGGTAGTTGGTGTTATAGTAGGCTACATTAATTATTTTGTATAGATTTAGCCTAGAAATTTAGAGGGCAACCAGAATTAGAAGTTTGACGCCATAATGAACGTACTTTGCATTTCTGCTTTTCTCCAGAAACGGTTTAAGTGAACAAAATATGTTTCTACTTTGGTTTGCGGCCTAAGTGACAATTGTTCGCTCATGGCTCAAAACAACCCAGGACTGTTGAACATAAGCGATAGCTTCAGACGCTGCGTAAAACGAGTGAAATGACTAAAACTTAATGTAGCATACCCAGTGATTTAAAAAAAGATTACAACCAACGATGCGCCCTCCAAAAAGTTTTACGCGCGCAGCGTCGCTCGCTGTTTGTGAATCATGCAGTGTAATTAAGAAACTAGCGCCTTACCAGATGAAGGTCTGTCCGAGTACCTGGTGCAGTACACCCACGCAGGCCATAGTAAAGGCTGCGATTCTTTCGCTTGCGAAGTTCCCCCGTTAGTATTCTCCCCGTACCTTGCTGTGGTAGTTCCATTTCCTTCGACAAGCTTTGCAGAGGTCTGCTTTGAGGATGGCGAAGAGGACGAGGACGAAGAAGTGCTGTCACTACTGCAGTTTGAATCCTGGCAAAGGCTGCTATTATGCGACGGCCTTATCACCATTGGGTTAACGTTCTCCCTACCCGAGGTTTGCGCCCGGTCCCTACTCCCAAGATCTTTCTTGCTGCCGAAATCTGGCCTTAGAATATTGTCGATGAAAAAGTTCGTGGTTCTGTGGGCTTGCTGCGCAGCCTGGTGAGGTAAAATCGGAGGAGATGGTATATTGGGTGAGAGCGAGACGCTCTCAGACTCAGTCGAATCACGACTATTTTGATCCTTTTGCTCCTCCATGACAGCTGGATCGTGGTCTGCACACCAAAATTCCACTTGTTGCAAAGAGCAGTATCCGGATAGCAATAAACAAGAATGCAGTCTATAGTGTTAAAATAAAGGTATACGAAATACCTTAAGAGAAGCGACTGTCATAGCATCGGAATGCTTTCCGCGATCAAGGCGTTTCAAGTGTCAAAACACACCCGTTATTCATGTCAGACAATGCATCGCGCGATGCTCCGTAGTCCCTGACTCGCTGCCCCGTGTGACAGCTCGCGCTTAACAAACTCTTTCTAAAATCACGGTGCCCCTCACATACTTTTTTCCTTAACCGGAAGCACGTGAGCGAGACACACGTGCAATGGACCAATGGGGTACCAACATCCTTGGTGTCACAAGCAGAGAATGTCCAATAGAATTTTACGATCTTATGCAAATAAAGAACGGATGGATTTCCAGGACCAAATAAACTGGCGAACATTAAATCCAGTCTAATGAGGGCTGGATGTTTCTGGATCGGCATTGGCTTTTTACAGAAAAAAGATCTGATAGTGCAGCCAGATAATTAATTATTTCAGTTGCTCGTTGTATTTTTTGTTTGTTTGTTTGTTTTTTTGTTGCCAAAACTAGACACTAATAACATTGCGAATAGCTCTTTTTTTGAGACCGTTAGTAGTGAAGGTGACTGAGTGAGCCTTCATCATAACTAAGAAATTATTATTCTGTGGGACAAGGTTATCAAGCAATGAAATTAAGGCTAAGAAACTGAATCTACCACAAAGAGACACATTTAATAATAATAATAATAATGTTTTCAATTAATTTAGTAACTGCATTATATATTAAATAGGCTATATCCGGGATATTGTATAATAACATGTAAGGTGTAGCTATAATTTACCTAATAACTGCAATACAAATACAACAGACTAGACCGTATTATCATTATTCTCAGCATTCGAAACGTTTTAACCGCAGAGTAGGCTACACTGTCAAAAGTGGTAATTGCAAAAGTAGCCTATGTAATTGTTACCTTAAGTAGGCTATTATTTCTACCTGACCTAAGTCTTAATTAAACACACTTTTGCTGGTCAGGTTAATCCAGCCATATTAAATAATATTTTGTTTTGAATAAAAGCAAATGAATCGCGTTCAGGTTACATTTTTGCAATGTATAGGACAGTTCCCTGCTTTAACAATCCGGTTGCATGAAATGACACCTTTGTCCTTAAAAACTGATTCAATCATGTATGACCACGTCAGCACAAAAAAGAAAAAGTGGCAGCAAACGTAGCTACAAATCACAGCATCTTAGTAAAAAGCAGGACAAGGACGTGTTAATAAGTAAATGGCTTAAAAATGTGAGCAAAGAACTCCGTCAAATTATGCAAAATAATAGACCTGGATGCTATACGCCAACAAAAAAAACGAAGAAGGAACGCACACAAAACATTTAGAATAATAATTAGCGCAAACATGGAATTTTAGTAGCCTACATGCAGCATTTATTCATATAAAACAGGTTGGGTTGAAATCTTTATTCGAAAAGCTTGAGTGGGTACTTAATAAATTTCTAATTAGGACACTATCAATATGCTATTTGAGCCAAGTAGCCATTGTGAGTAGCACGCTCCTTTTCATGCGGTAAATTAGCACTCCAGCTCTTATCTCGGCTGCATGCGACGTCTTGAGAGGGGCTGCAAAAGATAATTTATAGGTTTTAATTAGCGCCCATTCCGCCTGATCAGCTTGGCGTTCATCACTAGCGAGTGAATAAAAGTCGGTCAAAAGCACTGTCACTACCCGCTGGCAGGGCGCTTTATCAAGGTAAGCAGGGCCGTATTACACGAGGTGTAGAGGCGACGTAATTTCCCCAGTGCTGATAAAGCCCGTTGAATAATGCCGGAGTCATCTGAGACACCATTTACTGAAATGACTTTATTGACGACTTAACGTCGGTAATTCATTTTACCCTTCACGTATCGGACCTGGATTGGGTACAGTAATGGGATGATGAATGTGGCAACGGGCCGCACCTCGCATTATTGAATGTAATACACACGCCCTTCTCTAAATGTCTCGAGATTCGTGTAAAAATCGAAGTTGTAGCTATTTTAATTTCATTATGGACAGGTTGAAATATTGTCCGGTCTTGTTGCAATGATAGCTCGCGGGATATTTCATTACTCTACATAAAATAGGCGCTCACAGCGAGCACCTGACAACACAATGGGATATTCGTGGATAAACAATCATATTCAATATATAAAAACAGGGAACACACGTGACACCAATGATTATCAAAACGCACCTGAAAGCATAAAAAATTCTGCTCAGCCATTTGCATTACTGCTCGGGCTCACAAATCGTCAGTGAATTTTAACCCATTTTCATCCCAGGCATGTGCATGGATTGCTTTAGTTGTGCTTTTCAGAATTGTTTCAGCCAATTAGTTAATAGCATAATTGCCTTCATTCAAATATGAAAAATCCGCCGCTGCCTAAAAGAATAACTTCGCCTCGTCATGCAAAATAAATCAACGAGAAACGCTGCCAGTTGCATTTACTATTTCAATGAACACGTACAGAAACAGCTAAGGTGGATGCTTTACGCAATGAAAGATGTAGGCCTATAGCCGAAACAGATAAAAGTGAGGTGATGATTTCGGGTTTTAACTTTTTTTTTTTTTTTTAGCCAGCAGACCAAGCAACTTTTACACCTGTCGTCAAATCTGGGCTAACAACAGGCATACAGCCAGACTATAGCCTAGCCTACTTATTGTCCAGTTCAGTTTATGTCCTCCAGTAAGAGGCTGGTGCAAATAGTTGTCCAAATTTGTCTTATCAGGGGTTGATTAACCTATATAAAATAGTTCTAATTAATTCTAAATCTTTCTACTGGACGTAGGTTTGATAAGGATACGATTTTCACCTACGAAATACTATAGGTGACAGTCTCTTGAAGAAAGTTGTAAGGTGCTTCTCTGGTTGTTTTGTTAGATGTTATTAATATTTGCATAGCATGCATGGGTAGCTTGATTTTACTGTATCGTACACTCAGTTATTTTCATTGTTTAACTTGAGTTTTGTAAAATTTATTATTATTATTTAATCAAAACAGCCCAACTGCAGTTTGATATTAATTGGAATGCAGGATTAAAAAAAATTAATAAATGATTTTTGAAAATTTTTAAAAACGACTCTTCATATGGAGCTTAACGTTTGGGTTTCGCAGTTGCTTCTCATGCGTATGCTGCTGACGTAGCCCCGTTTGGGAGGAGTTAAGTGGCGTAATTTATGTGGACTGAACAAATTGAATTTACGCTTGGCTGAATTTACACTCGCATCTTGCAGTAGCTTTATTTGACCAGCAGGTGTCAGGGTAGTGTTGTAGGGTTTTGACAAAGCCCAAACTCGTGTAAGCAACAGATAAAAGTGAGGTGATGATTTCGGGTTTTAACTTTTTTTTTTTTTTTAGCCAGCAGACCAAGCAACTTTTACACCTGTCGTCAAATCTGGGCTAACAACAGGCATACAGCCAGACTATAGCCTAGCCTACTTATTGTCCAGTTCAGTTTATGTCCTCCAGTAAGAGGCTGGTGCAAATAGTTGTCCAAATTTGTCTTATCAGGGGTTGATTAACCTATATAAAATAGTTCTAATTAATTCTAAATCTTTCTACTGGACGTAGGTTTGATAAGGATACGATTTTCACCTACGAAATACTATAGGTGACAGTCTCTTGAAGAAAGTTGTAAGGTGCTTCTCTGGTTGTTTTGTTAGATGTTATTAATATTTGCATAGCATGCATGGGTAGCTTGATTTTACTGTATCGTACACTCAGTTATTTTCATTGTTTAACTTGAGTTTTGTAAAACAGGTCGTTTGTACTTTCATTTCGCATAAAAATAAAAGACAAAGTTTCACCTTTATAGGCAGTGGCTCACAATAACGATGTAACGAAATAAATTTAAGCGCGTTAAATTATTTATTTATTTATTATTTGTAGCTTACATCAGCAAATATGTCTCTGTTATTAATGTTAGCCAATATACGGGGTTTACAGGACATGTTGCTATCTGGCATACGTGAAAATACCCTTATTATTTGAAACATTAGACCATTTTTAAATATAGCCTATGTTTGACTTCATAAGCGATTTGCATTAAAGTGACGTAGGCTATCGTCTTTATAAAGTTAGGCTTATTAATGTCCTTATAGCCTAAATGATAGTCCACCATTTGGTATTTTTTATTTCATGTGCAATTTCACATGCTAATAAATTCATGTTAATCTATAGGCCTACTGTGAATATGTACAACAGAGGTAACCCAATGAGCGATGGCCTGCTGCATGTCAAAAGGTGTCGGTTTTTTTTTCCATCAAGTGGTTTTCTGGAATTACGTGAACGCCTCCCAATGGATGTTCTGCGTACAACAGGGAGAGATCTGATGAAACCAACAAAATAAATAAAAAAAGACGCGATCAAGGCACAAGCATAAATGAATGATTTCTTAAGACTTATAAATATATAAATTCATACAACACAACTACCAAAGAACAGCAACAAGTTGGTAGGCTTCTTTTTAGTGTTTTTAGTAGTAATTTATCTGTTTTTAATTAAATGTAGGCTATAAGAGTAGACATTTTTAAGCATAGTATGGTGCATCAAACGGTTTCCGACTGGTCCCCTGCAACAAATCCATCATGATAAGATGTAGTCCGGACACACACACACAAAAATAAATAAATAAAATGAAATAAAACAAAACAAAACAAAAGTTACCATTTCCCGAATATTTATAGTTATCCGAAAAGCCGTAATATTGTCCTTCAACAAGATAATGCCGTTTGGCGAACCTTGACTGCCATCTTGTGGTCAAGGGAATAACGTCCACATGAAGAGGACAAACTTTTTGACAGGTCAACGTTTGCCCTCGAGGACATTAGCAATGTTGGGGTAACGCATTAGAAGTACCGTGAGTTACGTAATCTGATTACCTTTTTCAAGTAACTAGCCTAGCAAAGTAACGCATTACTTTTTAATTTACAAGAGTTACTTTTTCAAATTAGCAGCCCAATGTCAGTAACTTTGTTTTCCCATTTACTGACTCAGAATATGATGCAAACCTGCAGTAATTAAATGTGTTAACACAAATATCCTCCTATAATTATCCAATGTATTTGCTGCTGACACCAATACAACCTAATAAGCAAAAATGACTTTAGATAAAC